AGGGGGTTTTGTTCAAGAGGCACTTGGTTGTTTGGGTCTAGAGCTCATGGTTTATCTTTGGTCCCCGCTTCAGAGCACAGGAACCCTTCTCTGCCTCAACAAAACATCCACCTTGCATTTCAGATATGTCTCTGTATCAGGCTGTCGGGACCACACATTTGAATCAACTAGGGAATGTTTTAGAATAGCTTTGGAGTGGGGAATGCCATTGGCTTTATTTATTTACTTATTTATTTTTGGTTTTGTGTATCTATTTTTAATTAAGAATAAATTCATGTAAAATAAAATTTGGTATTTAAAAGTATACAAGTCAATGGCTTTTAGTATACTCACAGTGTTGTACAACCATCACCACTATCTAATTCCAGAATGTTTTCATCACCACTGAAACCTGTGCCTCTCACTTTCCCCCTCCCTCCATCCCTGCCCATCACTGACCTGTCTCTGTTGATCTTCCTATTCTAGAGATTTCATATAAGCGGATTCATACAATATGTGGCTTTTGTGACTGGCTTCTTTCACTTAGCAAAAATGCTTTCAAGGTTCATCCACATTGTAGCGGTTATCAGTACTTCATTCCTTTTATGGGTGAATAGTACTCCATTTATGAATATACATTTTTAAAAACTGTTAACTCGTTTACAGACTTTATTATTTTAATCTTTTTTCATTTTAACTCTGCATCCCTTGTTATAGACATTTTTTATAAAATTTGAGATATAATTAACATATAAAATTGTATAAATTTAAGACATATAATATGCTGATTTGATATATTTATATATTGCAATATGACTACTACTATAGCATTAGCTAACACCTTTATCCCATCTTACGATGGTCATTTTTTTTTTGTGGTGACAATAATTAAGATACAGTCTCTTAGAAGCCTTGAAGTTTATACTACAGTTTTGTTGACTATAATCACTGTGCTGTGCATTAGATCTTCAGAACTTATCTACCATTACAAGTTTGTACCCTTAAATGACATCTGCCCTATTCCCCAGACCCTCAGCCCTTGGTAACAATCATTCTATTCTATGTCTACAAGTTCTGATTTTTTAGATGCCATTGGTAACTTCTAAAATCCTCCCAGATAACTGCATTGTGCAAACCAGGTTGAAACTATGCCTCCATAGCTAATGGGTATTTCTGACATGCCCTTACAATTTTTTAGGGCTTGTGACAGGCAGCATTTGAGAGGCAGAGTAATGAAGTGTTCTCAGATGGGGGTACTGGGAAGGGTATTGGAGATATTCCAAATCCTATCAGCTCTGCTTTTCAGTGTCTATTGCTGTTCTCTAGGCCTGAGGGTGGGACCGCACTGTTGCAGAAGAACAAGCTTCATCTTGCAAAGGAGAAGTGGCTTCATGTGTTGTTACCTCATCGGCTGCATAGGGAATCAGAACACTTGCTTTCACTCCCTGTTTATAGTCAGAGTTTCAGGGTGGCTAATGGGAAAACTCTGCCGTAAACAATGTAGGAGGGTTTATGTGAGCTTCAGTTATTTCTTAGAGTGGTTCACATAGGCACAACCATAAAAGGAAAAGAATGGTGACTAAAACCTCATCAAAATTTACAATTTCCTCTCATCTAAATACAGTGTTAAAGATTTCTGGCTTCTGCTTGGGATCCGTAAAGCTGGAGTGTTGTTCCAAGCCTAACAACAAAGCAAAGCTAGATAGTCAACAAAATCATAACATTTCTTGAACCCTGCTGAGTTTGCAGGGGGAAAAAGGTGGCCTGAAAATCCCAAGAACAGAAGAGGCACAAGCACTGACTTACAGGGGCAGAGCGTAGGAAGAAGAGAAGACACCATCACCACTGAAAATGGTATGAAGACTTGAGCCAAAGTTCTAAGGAGCAGATAAAGGCCGAGTGTGGGCTGCCATGACAGCATAGATCCCTAGGAGGTGCAGACTCCAAAGAAATCTGCACCCGCCTGCTGGATCTTCACACTGGGCGTTCACGAGAGTGACTGGGGGCAGGACAGTAGACTGGAGAAAGCCTGTCTGTGATCAGGGAGGAAAGAGAGCAGTCACCTGTTTGGTGGGAAAGGCAGAGGTTACACCCAGTTCCTGTCCCTTTAGAGTAGAAGTGGTAAGATGCTGGCTACACCCAGTTCTTCCTTCCTTGTGGAATGAAAGTGTTGAGATATCAGGTACATGGCATACATTTATTTATACACACAAATAAAGTCAACATGAGTGTTTCTATACATGTCTTTTGGGCAAAAGCACTAATAGCTGTTAGAGACCTAGACATGGGTTACTGGTTCTTATGGTACACATACGTTCACTTTTAATAGATATTGTCAAACACTTTTCCAAGTTGTGGCGACTTACACAAACAATCTTATAAGCAAAATCCTGCAATTTGTGACATGGACAAACCTGGAGGACATTGTTCCAAGTGAACTAAGCTGGGCAGAAAGACAAATACTGTATGATCTCACTTGTGTGTGAAATATAAAAAAGTCAAGCCCATAAAATAAAGCGTAGAATGGGCACTGCCAGGGGCTGGCAGTGTGGGGGAAATATAGAGATGCTGGTCACAGAGTACAAAGGTTCAGTTTTGCAGGATGAATAAATTCTGGAGGTCTAATGTACATCATAGTGAGTATAGTTAATACTACTGTATTGTATACAGCCAAACCTCAGTTCTCTAACGTTTCCCATCTTGAATAATTCGATTTTCGACCAAGTTGTTCANGTTTTGCAGGATGAATAAATTCTGGAGGTCTAATGTACATCATAGTGAGTATAGTTAATACCACTGTATTGTATACAGCCAAACCTCAGTTCTCTAACGTTTCCCATCTTGAATAATTCGATTTTCGACCAAGTTGTTCATGGAAAAAAATGTCTTGGTTGTTGAACAAATTTTGGTTCTTGACTTGACAACCCTTTCATGCTGATACATCAGCATAACAAACAAACAAACAAAACAAAACTGTCTCTCAGGCCACAAAGAAAGGAGAGAATGTGCTAGTATGAGTCAGTTTACTGCTAAACCTCGTGTTGTTAACATCTCAGGAAATTGTGCTGTGAATATTTTTGTGGTTTTTTTGCTTTGGTTGCTGGCAAAATGGACAATTAGCACAATTTTAAAACATAAAGAGGCCATTCAGAGTGGTAATGCTGCTAATGGTGTGAAAGAAGCAATGATCACAGGCAATTGAAGAGGTAGAAAAACTGTTGTTGATTTGGATAAAGGAAAAGCAGTTAGCAGGTGACAGCATTTTGGAGGCAATGATGTGTGAAAAAGCAAAGATGGTGCATGCTGACCTCCTGAAAGACACCCCTGGACCGAGTGCTGAAAGTGATACGTTTAAGGCTAGTGGGTGGTGGTTTGATAAATTTAAGAAGTGTTTGTTTATAGATTAAACAGTTCATTGGACATCTACTGTATATAAGAAAGGTTAAAACAGGGGCCCATTTGGGGGTCTGGAACAAATTAATTCCATTTACATTATTTCTAATGGGCAAAATGATTCTGTTTTAGAATAAATCGCTTCTTGAATAACCTTCTGGAATGAACTAAGTTCAAGAACGGAGGTTCCACTGTATTTGAAATTTCGGAGTTGATCTTAAGTGCTCTCACCAAATACACAAAAAATGTAATTATGTGAGGTGATGGATATGTCAGTTAGCTTGATTGTGGTAATCATTTCACAATGCATACATATATTTAAACATCACCTTATATATCTTAAATATATACAATTTTTACCTGCCAAGTGTACCTCAGTGAAGCTGGAATCAATCAATCAAAATTGTAGAAATGAGATACCCTTTCAATCCTATGTCCTTCAATGGCTGAATGCATACACAAATGTGGCACATCCATATAATGGAATACTACCCAGCATTAAAAAGAAATGCACTATTGCTACACACAACAATATGGGTGAGTCTCAAAACTGTATTGAATGAAAGAAGTTTTTCTCAAAAGTTTACATATTTCATGAGTCCATCATGTGACTTTCTCAAAAACAAAACATCACAATGTTGCAAGAAGTTAGGGAGTTTTGGGATTGTGCCTGTGAGGAGAAAAATATAAGGGGGTTTTGGGATTGATGGAACGCCTCAGTATTCTGATTGTGGTTGCAATTGCACAATCTTTACTTGTGTTAAATTTAATATAGCTGTATATCAAAAAAGAAAAAACTAAATTTCACTGGGTAATAATTAAACAAAAACCAAGATAATCTGAAAAATAAAATAAAATCATTGGTTGACATTTCTTGTTTAAAAATTATCTTTATTGTTGAAAGTATTACAGATGTCCCCTTTGTCCCCACTGACCCCTCCACCCTGTATCGACCCCTAACCCCAGGCCTTCCCCACACTATTGTCTGTCCATGGATTATGCATATGTGCATATATGTTATTTGGTTAACCTCTCCCCACCCAGCCACCCACCCCAGCCTTCCCTCTGAGATAGGTTTTCTTTCTTTAGCACTTAAAACATTTTGCTTCCCTGTCTCCTGGCATCCTCTGTTTCTGAGGACAAATCAGTAATCATTTGAGTTGTTTATTTGAAATGTGTTTTTTGCCCTTTGGCTGCTGTCAACTGTATTTAAGCAGTTTGATTTTAATGTTCCTAGATGTGATTTCCTTCATATTTATACTGCTTGTTGTTTATGAGATTCTGAAATCTGTAATTGTAAATAATTTTCTGAATTGAAAAGAATTCTATCCCATTCTGTTTCTTCAACTTTCAGGATTCCAATTGCATCCATGTTAGGCCATATTGCCGTACAGATTCCTGGTACTATATTCATTTTTATTTAATCTTTTTTCTCTGTATTCTTCTGATTGGATAATTTCTTTAATTTCACTGATGCTTTCCCTTTCTTATCTTTGTTCCACCATTAATTAGGAAAGTACAGATAGCCAAATGCCCCTTTAAACCCTACCCTCGCTTCCTCAGTTGTCATCATCTTGCATAATTCAGATTTGGTATATCATATATTTCCAGAAATTGATTCATTTCTTCTAAGTTATTGAAGAACTTGGATCATTTCTTGTGTAGTGTTTTCCATGTCTGCACTTTGCTGATTGCATCTCTGTCGATTGTTTTCATATATTCTTCTTGTTTTCATATGTCCTACAAATTAGAGGTTAAAATAGAGATTTAATCAGATTCAAGATTTTTCTTTTTTTCTTTTTGCCAGGAACATGCCATAGATATTTTGTTATTACTTCCAGAATAATTTCGGCTGTCTCATTTTCTGTTATATTAGCAGTCATTGGTTTTTAGTGACTATGTTATTTATATATTGTTATATTACTTTATTTAAATAATCATTATATTGGCAACTATTATAACACTAGGTATTTATTTTTAAATTAATATTTTATTGATTAAATTGTTTTACTTCTTATATATTAGTTTTCTAATTTTTCATATAATCTCATTTCCATTTGAAATTTTTTCTTAAATAATCTTCATATAATCTATGGCAGGGTTGGGAATATTTTTTAGGTCAAGGGCCATTGGGATATTTATAAAATCTTTCATGGGCTATACAAAATTATCAACCTAAAAATTAGCTATGAAAAAAGCTCCTAGATTTATTGAATTTTGAGTCCTGTCTGC